CACACACACACACACACACACACACACACACACACACACAATGACATGTGCCAGTATGGACAACATGCCCCAAAGGAATTTTTCTGTATTCAGAAAGATAGCCCAGCTAATTAGACACACAGTTGACTTAGTCAAGCTTGTCTGCCTTCAAAACTCAGAAGCAATGTGTCTCCCAGTTAGAAATGCTGTTCAATGAAGCATCTGCTCACAGGAACATACATCTCTTCTTTAGTAGAAACCGTAGAACCATTAAGTCATCCAGTAGTTACTGCTGCCTTGTGTGGTCCAAATACATCATATTTTAAAGCAGTACAAGACAGCCGTCTTCTTTTTGTTGCATTTTCATTAACTCTGATCATCTCATTATTGTTTGATATAGCATTCAGGAATCTTCTTGCTTGTTCATGTCCTTTTATTATGATATTTATCATGCAAGGCAGAATTCATTTCGCAAATAAAAGCTCTGGTTTAAGGTGTATGCAGGGTGGGGAGGAGAGCTCCTTTGGGGAAAAATACATAATTTGTTTTTCTCTTGTTGAAGAAGAGAATACTTTCTCAGGGAAATTTACTGAGGTTTCTGTATATGTACCCTGTAGGATCCTAGTTTGCATTGGAAGGTACCCAGAAGTAGGTTCAGGAGAATAGGATTCAAGCCTAGCTCTTCCTTCAGGGGGTGTGAGTGACCAACACCATTGTCTTGCTTCATCTCTCTAGGTCTAGGTGTCCTAAGGGAGTCACTGAAACTGACTAGGTGATCTTAGAGTGCCCAGAAAGTAGTAGCTTGTTATGACTCACAATAGTCTTCTCTTCCTTGTCCCGTACAGTTGTTGGATTAAAGATGACCATATCTTTTACATCTCGGTGGTGGCTTATTTTTGCCTCATATTTCTCACGAATCTCACCATGTTCTGCACTGTTCTCGTTCAATTGACTTCAGTGAAATCTCAAAGCCAGAAGACGCGGAAGAAGATGATCTTGAATGATCTCAAAGGCACAATCAGCCTGACATTCTTACTTGGCCTCACCTGGGGGTTTGCCTTTTTTGCCTGGGGACCCGTGAGGATCTTTTTCATGTATCTTTTTGCCATTTGTAATACTTTGCAAGGTAACTGCTTCATGTCGGCCCTATCTGTGGCTAGCAAGAAAGCTTTGTTGCTTTTGAAAATAATCCCAAAGAATTTAAAGTAGGAAAAATATTCTTTCAGGAGAACCCTGCTTCCAATGGGCCAACAAGTGGTCTTCAGAAATACTACTTAGATGTTAGCCTTCACTGAGTGACTATGCAAGAGTCTCTCTTACTCGAGGGTGGGAAGTATTACAAATGAGCTAACACAATCCTTTCTAGATAATGTCTGCATCAAACACTGACTGGCAAGGTTTCTTATGGTACTTGTAGCAACACACTGTAGATGTAGGGATTTACGCTTATGTTTAAATTTAGAAGTGCACGGTCTAGTTGAATATACTGATTACTAGATAGTAGACATTGAACTGTTAATCCTATGGCTAGAAAGTTGTAGAGCCACATAGAAATGAAACTTAAATCAGAGTCTAGGACCAGATTTTCGAGTAGAATATGTGAAAATATAAAACAAACTGTTCTCTCTCTCTCTCTCTCTCTCTCTCTCTCTCTCTCTCTGTGTGTGTGTGTGTGTGG